ATATAAATAACAGCACTTGCCAAGAGGCATCTCATTAGGTTCCTACCCATCTTTCAACTTCCTTTATTAATTATTGCATGATATTATCACTCCTTGGAACACCTCCCTCTAAGTAGTATCAGCAGCATAGACCTTTTAACATATATCAACTGGAAGCCAAGAAGGGGGTCACAAGACAGGCCAAGCCTAAGTTCCCCACTCTGTTCACAGCACAGGATAACACTTTCATTAATAAATGTCTTTGCTACTGAATAGTTTAATGGTCCCACTTTCATCTCAGTCTTTCAGATTTTAACTGTCATCTTCCTCTTTCTTCTGCATCCCTTTTTTAAAAAAGGCACAGAGAAAAAGCATACCATCCAAACCAAACTTGTGGCTATACAAAATAAAATCGAATCAAAAGGCAGGGTTTGAAAGGAAAAAAAGATGAACCCAAAAATTTCATTGAAAATAAGTTGTTAAAATAGTTCCAAAGTTCTCGCTGTTTCTTTCACTTAATAAAAAAATCTTGATTTTTTTTCCTCCACACTCAAGTTTGTATCACTGTGATATTTCATAAGGAAAATAATGGGGGAAAATGAACAGGACCAAAAAATATCATTTGTGTCTTAGTTCAAACATGCAGAGGAAATATCACAATGACAGATAAGTTTAGCGACCTAAGATCTTATTTATCACATTATGTATGTTATAGGGTCTTTTTATATTTTAAGAACCAATGCTCCTTTAAGAAATAAGGGGGCATTTTGATCCTAAGGATGAAATCACAAAGAAATCTCCCAGTGCACTATGACTAGCCTTTTTCAGAAAGCAGGGGGTAGAATCAAGATTAGACTCTAGGACTAAACATGAGCTTGCTTTATTCCCAAAAGTTTTAATGCGTGGAGATAACAGTCTCTTCACAAATATCTCAGATGGTGCTTCCAAGCCCCAGGTCAGAGTTAGAGAAAATGAAAGAGTGGGTAAATCAGTGGCATTCATATTCATGCCCTTTGTTTTCATGGCAGTTGCCCACAGATTTGCAAATACTAGGAGTGTATAATCTTTTCCATGGATTATTTTTGTGGCTTCCAGTGGTAGCTACAGTCACAGGAATCCCAAATAATGCTCCTGCTGGAGACCTAGGGTGGAAAGAATCCACTGCTTGCTGCAAAGCCACTGTCTAGTTTTAGTATCTGAAGCATGTTTATTGCTTTTCACCAGATTTCAGAGGAGACTGGAACCGATAAAGTGATAAATTAGTTCATTGATCAGAAATAATAGAAGGATATGGAATTCCATGGATGAAAACCAAGACAAGAACCCAAAAGGGTGATTTAGGGAGAATATCAAAAAGGACATTTCAACAGACACTCGACTCTGGGGAGGAGAAGTTACTACAGCCCTGTGCTGGGATCCAGGGAATCTCCAGTTTAATTCTTGCCACTTATCTGCCAAACAGTGTGGTTTGATTGCCTAAGCTTCTTGATCTACAAAATAGCTCTTAGGACAGGATATTTCTGTAAAGTATTTTGAGATTTTTAAGTCAATATTCTACATAAAGCTGACTTATTTCTGTTACAGGCAAAGCTATCAGAGGTGAAATGTAGTCCATGCATAAATCAATCACAGTTTGCCAAAGGTTCAAGTTTTTGTGTGTGAAATTTACTGTGTATGGAACAGTGCTGTATTTCCAAGCTGGTTGAAAAAAATTTCTTTTTCTGGTGCATAATTTCTATTGTTCACTTCTATTTATTGTAAAGGAAATAGATCGTGCTGTACCAGGCCCAAAGGTGGTATTAGCTAGTAGGTGCCTTTGGAATTAAGGTAATAAATTATCAGGTTTTTATATCAGCTTTACTAAAGAGGCAACTCCGTGATCACATGCTGAACAAATGGAGCATTGTTTCAGAGGAGAGATTCTGATTCAGAAGGGATTCCAAATTTAATTGCACGGAACTGATAAAAGAAACACTTTCCCCCCTTTATTACCCGATAATATACAATTACACTAAGAAAAAGCACACAGAGCTAGACATTGCCACTGGAGTATTGACCTGAAACAGATGGGAAATAGCTGAAAGATCTACATTTATACTGTCACCATACATCTACATTTCATTTAAAAATAAATGTTCCTATTGGCATTGTATTTAGACCCCTTATTAACAAGGCAATGGACACAAAAACTATGCTAAATTAAATCTTCTACAGCTTACACACTGACTATGCTGCTTTTTTCGTCTCACTCTTTGGCCTATGCAATTTTGTTTCCACGCAAAGAATTTGGCCCTTTTGCGCATTACAGAGAATCCAAAGGATTAACTTTCTGGTGCTGGGAAACAGCTAATGTTCCTGCCAGTGAGCTAAAGCTGGAGTATCCCTTTGTCATGGCCAAATTTATGACATGGATCAAAAACTATAAAAAGCTGTGTTGCATCCTGCCATTAAGGAGAATTAATATTTTCAGTGGTACGTTAACCAAAGTTTTTCCAGTGTCTCTCGTTAAAAGCAGACTGTTGACTTTTCATCCTGGTGTGCCAAACATTTTCACTGAAACTCTAACAAGACTTTCATCTTACAACCATTATTTCTTAATGGACTTGGATAGGGGCAGTGTACAGGAATGGATTTCCTTTTCAGCTCAGCGCAATGGCCCATCATTAGTGTGCTGGGTCTTGGAGAACCATTACACATGCAAACATTTAAAGTATTTCCAGGGTAACTACTTTTCTTCCCTGAAATGCAATTCATGTTTTATCTATTATATTTAAGCAACATTTGGTTGCGTTTCACCTTTCAAGTATCTCTACTATGATCACTTCTCATTCTGCTGCATAGTAAAACTCATAATGACTGAGCTCATACACAAAAACATTATATTTTTTTTCATGGAGTGGATTTTGTAGAACTTTCCCCTCATCTTGGGCAATAAATCTGTCTCTGAAAACCACGAAGCCCAAATGCTTACCATTTGACAAGAATACTGTATGACAACACCACTTGCCACTTATTCCTTATTATTGGGTAGATTATAGCATTCATAGTTGGAAAAAAAAATAAATCTACTGTTTGCCCTTTTAGTGCTTTTTTAGTGATTTTCTATTCATTCCTGTTTTCCTACTGGTGATGCCCTGATATCCGTCACCAAACAGCATTCACTTGCTTTGCAGGAATGTATTTTATTTTTTCCAAGCTGACATGAGCAGCATCAACTGCTTTCCAAAGTTGCCTATTCCTCCCGTTAAGCCCTCTCATTCCTAATATGTACTTCTAAAGATTCCTTAACAATTACATATACAGATGCAGTTTTGGAAACTTTCAGCCTTTGATGGTATTTTGAATCATGGCCCTGTTGGCAGCAAATGAACTCAAAGTTACAACCCTGGAGTGTGATACCATCAGTTCTAAGAAGCTGTGTAATATTTATATGTCTTCATTCAGACTTTATATCAAATGTAACAGGCTTTGCAACCTTCATTAAGATAAGCTGGCACCCAGAGGTTACATATGTTCCTCTTTTTAGGCTAGTATTTAAGTGCAGATGTATATTTGTTTTTCCACTCTACAGTCCACCCTGAACCATTCTTACTGCAAAGCTAATGAAACCATTGCTTTAATCCCCTCTGGCCTTCAGGGTACGTCATATGGTCCTTACTATTTCAGAATTCTTTTTAGTGTGCTTTCTATTTCCTTACTTCTGCAGTATTTATAACTTCCCAGTTCAAGAGGCTTTGGTTTTTCGACGGGCGTCAGGGAAACTAAAACCGTGAGTATCACGCTGAAAGTGGAACTGAAGCCAAATCTGCCTAAGTCAGATGCAGAACAGTTCTGCCCGCACACTTCCCTATTTTCCCGGCATCTTCTCAATTAGTTGAGCCATCCAGGATGGCCTTCCTTTATAAAGATACTTATCAGACATTTTTAAGTTGGACTGCTAGCCATTCTAGTCCGATGATTCTTCTTGTATTCCAGATATTTATACAACATAGACAGTTACAGAAGACTCCTACATTCTGAACCCTTATTGTTTAAGGCTTTGTGATAGACACTGGCCACCCTCTTTACAGCAGACGAATGCAGCTAAAATGTCTATTATTTCTCTTCCTGCATTGTAATGTTTCCGCTTTTCCTTCAGACCTGATCCAAACGCTATCTGAATTAGTGAAAGCCCCACAAAAATAGTGGACAATTTTATTTATTTTTTATAAGGAAAAACTGCAATTCATTTGAATTATGAACCTCATCCCACTGCCTTGATTCACACTGATAGCCTTTAGTCAGAAGAGCAAACGCAGGGCACGATGGAGGCCTTAAGGCTATTGCTGAAAGCAATGGCTACGGGTTTGGCCCCATTTTCTTCTTTTCCTTTCTGCAGTGGATGTTTTGCAAAAGATGAATTCCTCTGTGCTTGATAGTAGTCTATAAGGTTAGACTTTTATACTATATTTTATACTTGAACAAATCCCACTGAACTCATTCTGGTTTATGCTGCTTCTTAGAGGAGACTATTATATGTAAGCTGAATCTCTTAACTATATCAAATCCAATATAAACACCCTCTTTATAAGACACACCTCACTCTAATGCTCAGTGTGGAACTCCTAGCAAAAATTATAAATGGAGTGCTTTGTTCAGGCATTTAACTCTTTCATTCCTAATATCAAATCACAATGCATAAGCTGTTTTTATTTTGCACTTAAAAATAAATATAAATGGAAGCCATAACTTAACCCATATGATGTGATTGAGCAAAACTGGAAGAAGATTTTCGACAAGCAACAAGAACTTAGGATGTGACTTCACCAAAGTTTTGAGGAGTTTTAATCTTATTTTTCGGAGGGGCGTCTGGGAAGGAGTGGGGGGAGGGGAACGTGCTAAAACTTTGCTAATTGTTGGAGAATTCAAACCTGTTTCCATTTATTTGAAATTATTACATAATGGAAGAGGGACGCTATAATTCAACCCAAATGGATGACTTCAATAAGCGGGTGGAAATGATTCAGTACATTAAAGAGAAGCTGTTTCAATAACAAATCTTTATTATAATCAGGAGTGAAGTGGTTAATTTAAGTTTTTACTGAAAAACAGGCTGGCAAAAATGTTTCCAGGGATGTAGGGATTTTTTTCCTTTTACTCAGTAGGGGTTTGGAGAGGAGGTTTGGAAGGGAAGGAGGGCTTCGGTTCCAGGATCCCCGCATTCCCACGAGTTCCATTAAGGAAGGGGGAAGGGCTTCCTGCTGAGGCAGCCATCTGCAGCTTTCTGTGAACAGCAGGAACCAAAGGCCTGGTAAAAGGAGAGTAAACCCAGGGTGACAATTTTGTCTGCATTCAAAGTCAGAATGTGGCTGATTTTTTTCTATTAGTTGTGTTGTTACTACTACTATTATTAAGGAGGAGGGAGGGTTTCTCTGGCAGAATTGGTAGGTCTATAATGGAATATTAATTAAGAGCAAACAATAGTGTTACATGCAGAAAAGTGTCTAGCACAAACACACCATGACAGCCTCTCCTGGAATGTGCCGCCAACAGCAAGCTGGGATTGTCATCATCCGAGCTACTGTCACTCTGCTACAAAATATCTGGAGCCTGCGGATGCTTGTCTGAGGTCCCCTTAAGTTATTGCTTTCTAGGCTAGAGTAAATTAGACCGGGATTTTTGTAAAGTGCTGTCACTTAATACCTATTTTATTAAGGTTATTTTTATGCCCATAATTTGAAGGTAACACATCTGTTATTTCCTCTGCTGCCTGGCTTTGGTGAACACTGCCTATGGAAAGTAACAAAGAGTGACACTGGAAAAAATAACAAGGGTGTTTTAACTTCCAACATCTGGAGAAAACAATATTAAGGAAACAGGAACAAATAGGTACGGTAGCCTACAAAGCAAAAGTCCTCTTTTTAACAACGGTGCACAGTTTATATGGTACAGTAGATTTTTATGATTTTGGTCTGGGCAATCTAATACAAAAAATAAGGTTGAAAAATCTCATTAAAGAAGCAGCAGCTCCAGTTCTTGTTTAGGTCATCCTAATGCCAAAATCCCAGGTACAAAGGGAGAGAGGGGAAAAAAAGTTACTATTATCCCTTCCAGAAAAGAGTTTCAAAATTCCACCACTAAAGCTTCCGGTTATGTAGCTTTCAATAAACTTTTATCACTGCTACATATATGTCCCTGGCTGCTACCTACAGAGACACAGAAAATTCTACTGTATCATATGAAACTTCAAAACTGAATTAAGCATTCCTGTGGAGTGATAAACATCGAGATTAAGAAAGTGGTGGTAATTTTCCAAGTAAAAAAAAAACAACAAAAAAACCCACTGAAACCAGCAAACAAATATAAAACCTCTTAGTATTTGCATTCACATTATTGAAAAAGCAAAGTAAACTGTTGAAGGATCAAGTAATCTTTTAGGGAAAAGGATGCGTTTACCATACAAACATCTATTTGGAAATGCCATATTTCAATACCACTATTTTTTCTTTTTAAATTTGATAGATTTATTTTTACAATGTACATTCCTGAACCCTCCCATTTGTTGTCTGAATTCCTGTTTGTGACCTTGGAATTCCAAATTTGTTATGTCATCCTCTGCCTTTTTTTCTAAGGGCATTGTATTAGAAAATGAAAACAGCATGAAAATACTTCCCTGTCCCTTCACACCCTCTCCTTTTCTCCTGTTAATTGGTATTGCCCTAGCATCCATTTAAAAAAAAATAATATTTCCTCTAAATGGAAAGGTAACTTATGGTACTCTGCCAAATAGAAGGCCTATCTTTGTTTCACAAACATGACAGGATGTGTTTAGCAGAAGCTGCTTATTTCTAGCTACTGTTTTGGGGTAGAGGGATTTCTGCTTTTATTTAATATTTTCTTTTCTAGAAGACAAAACATAATACTGATCTGTTTCAGGTTTTTTTTGAGTTTCTGCCTTTTTTTTTCTTTTAGATCTCCAAAAGGAAGATTCCACTTCCAATGGTGCATGATTATTTTAGCAGTTTTCCTTATATAAAGGCTACATGTAAGTAAAGAATGTTTCTCCTGCCAGTAATGAGCAGGAGACGGCCGTTAAGAACAGATGCTCCTAATGACTGGACCACTGCTTGTGACAGCAAAAACCAGAGGAAATCATTACACCCTAAGCTGTAGATGTGCTTTTAGTTCTCAGTACAAATAACACATGCCTCGGGTCAGTAAAGGACTACTGCATTTGAACAAGTTTGGTTTCTATGCAAAGCTGAAGGTATGTCCAGGTGTTTTTTAGTTTTTAGTAGGTTTTCTGTCTGGGTACATAAGAGTGACTCCAGGCACAGGTGAAACAACTCCATGAACTGCCTGAATACCCCACCCAAGCTGCAAAACTACAGGGTGCAGTGCAGGAGAAGTTCCAAGTCGCAAGAAACTACACTTCCAAAAGATATCTGATTAAAACCTTTGTGCAGTGTGAAAGCTGACATAATGAATGCCAGCCTAACCCAGAAAATCCTCCTCCTTTTAATAGGTGTTACAAATGCTCACCACTTCGCAGGCTTAAGTTCAAAGTCACCTTTATAAATAGCATTTACTTCACAACCGCAAAGTACTATTTTTTTTTCTAAAGAAACTTTGGGATTCAAGCTCACACAAATACAATTTAAAAAGGAATAGTCTGCTTTAGACACTACCAACTGAAACCGCAATGCTTGCACACTATTAAGAAGAATGTGAGGACCTGCTTCTGTCTTTACGTTGCAGAACATTGTTTTGCTCAGATGAGGCTGTAAATGTAACACAGCTTCCCAATGCTGAAATCAAAGTGCTGCAGCAACATAGGTGTTGTCCCATTTTACCACAAGAAACCTCAGACAAACAGGTTTTCCCCACTCCTGTCCCCCACAGCAACCTTCTCAAAGCTGCTACCCGACATTCAGAGATGTTTCCTTTCTCGAAAAACACCAGGCACTCTCACAGAACTTTAGATATTTAATGTCATAATGTAGATTGTTTCTTGTAGATGTGTTTATATCAGCTTCATCTGTGATTGCTCTGTATCACCTGGTGCAGAAAACACCATGTGTTTTAGTGGATTGAGAACATAGTAGGTATCATTAATGAAAGGTACAACATCTGTTTAAATAGCACAGTTTTTTTCAGTCGGTTAACAGCATAATCACTTTAGCTATCAGAGGAACGCGGTGCCTATGGGTAGCATCTCAGAACAGCATGCAGGTATAGTGCATGCATTCATAAATGAATAAATTTTTTCACTGAATATATAGGTATCAAGAGACCTCTCTTTCACTTAAGTCCTCAGAGTAAGGCTCCAGTGGGATTTGAAAAATGTGTGGGCTCTTTTCCAGCCCTGAGAGGTGAATTATACCTAGTGAAACTACAGATCTGCCTGTGCAGACAGGTGCAGGCAGTTTCCTCAATTCCTCTGTGTCTCTGGTCCCAGGCAGCCGCAATCCAACTCCAACGCAAAGGCTGCACAGGCATGTTTAGCTGAGAGATAGGGTGAATCAGCTTGAACACACTAGCCTTCAAACATGCTAGCTAAGAATCTACCAACTAGCTCATGAAGTGGGATTTTAGTTAAACTTGTTTTGTGCACAGAGTGCTACTTAGAAAACAAATTGACGAATGTAATATTTTTCTAAAACTCTTTCAAAAACATTTCTAAAAATCACGAGAAACAATAAAAATATCTTGTAAAATGTATCAAAACTGTTCACAATGTTACAATTTTGGAAAAAAAAATTGACTGAGGTTGTTTTTAAAGGTATGCAGTTGCATGCAGGATTCACTGTAAAAGAAATGAGGTCAAGAGGCCGATTTCTTTTAAATTCTGATATCCTTCCTCATTTATATGTGTCATAAAATGAAGTGGAAGAGGTAGATGAAGCAGCGAGCACGTAACAGCTTTACTGACAGCTTTTGTAGTACCAAAATAAACCATGCTGCACTTTTATTTATATACTGGGAATTCACCAGTTCAAATACTGACCCATGACCCTAGTTCTGCAAAGTACCCAAACATGTATTTAAACATTTTCTGAATGTGTAGAATAAAGCTTAAATTAAAGCATATGCTTAAGCACTTTGCTAAGTTGGAGCTTTACTTTTCCCATAAATTGCAGTTGCAAGGCAAGTAATTGTTCTACGAATTACTCTGAAATTATTCTAAAAGCCTACCACAGAACTCTGAGTAATTCATAATACTGGAAAGTCAACAGGAAGACCAGTGTCTGTCAACTGGTGTTTGGAGCAAGATATTGATTCCCAAGTGGAGCAAGGTTAAAATGTTATAGCAACATGATCTGGAATGATTTTCCAAAAACTTACAAACGAGGGAAATGCACAGGGTATGCACCCAGGGAGCACCAGGCCGTGATTCTGAGAAGGTTGGAGTTAAGGGTAGAACTCTGAGGAAATCACAAAGAAAAAAAATCATGTCTTTCAGTCCCTGAGGGTCTGCCTATGAATTTATAGCCAAGGGCATGAACCTCTAGTTTACTTGTGCTTCTGATCTGTCAGAAAGAAACCTTCCCTTATTCTTTTCCACATCACAGATACCACTCCTCCTCATAAGCCAGTACTCTGCTATTTCTATCAGATCTATTGCAAATAAAATAATAGTAAAAAAAAGGAAAATCAGTCTTTATTCATCAGAAGGAGACAGGAATAAGGTCAAAACAACTTCAGCCCCCTTTGCTTTCTAATTTGACTTTGAAAGAGAGATAAGCTAAGAGAAAAGAACAGAGGAAGATTTCTGATCTAAACCTCACAGGCTCCGCCAACTAATCAAGGGGAATTTGGAAAAGCTGTGACACATCTGAAGAAACTGAAAATACTTACTAATATTTACTAACCCAAAGCCTATCGTCCACTAGTGCTCTCAGCTAAGACTCAATGACTCCCTTCTCACGTTCCAGTGTGATAACAACTCACTACAGAATAAACCACAGGAAAGGTAAAGGTCATTACTTGGTTGTTTGCATTAGACCTAGCTTCTTCTTGATTTTAACATATGAACCCTGAAACAAATACCCATTTCCTTTGGACCATGGGAAGAGGAGGTCTTTTAAAGCAAAACAAGTAATTGAAAAAAGATATTTTCTGGTTTTAATAAGAACTAAGCCAACATGATATAAAAAAACCCTCTGTTTTGCAACACCTGTCACAACTTCAAAGAACGTTAAAAGTGCCCATTGCAAAAATAACAGGTGTCAGCCTGGAGATGTGAGGTCCAATACATGGCAGAAGCACAGTAATTCAGGCAATTGCTATTAAAAGAACACATAACCCAACCCCCCCCCTCAAAAGGCAAAATGGAAAAAAAACCTTTATGAGCCATTAGAGGATATTTTCGCAAGTCTAAGTTTTCATACTATCATCTCATAAGAAATATATCACCAAAGTATGCAAAAAGATTCAAAAATAGGTTGGAACAAACCTGAGGTTGAGAATTCAAGCATTCAGGGGCAGGAAAGAGAGAAACAAAGGTTAATGTTTAACTTTGTATTTTAAAAATGACCTTGAAAATGCTGTAAATAGATAAAAACAATGCAAAATAGATCATCAGATGTAAACTGATAAAGCTTGCATGATCTGGGAGATACTTCAGTTTCCTGGTCATAAATGTATCAAAAAACCTCTAAACTGATAAATCTTTCACATGGTCCTGAAAACTAGCAAGAATTTTCCAGTTAGTCCAAATTAGAACATGTTGAGTGGCAGAAGCATTGGAGGTATTACAAATATGTTCCTAAACACAAATTACAACTGCAATTTTCATAGGAGGCCTTACAATACGCTATGGATAAAGGGACCGTAGCTGAAATCCCAGGAAGGCTCATGAAATGTTTATGATTTCATATTTTTGAGTCTACTGCCACTAAATCTCTGCTAAAAGCAGGAATTAAATTTTGGGGGGTTAACAATATATAATTTCCTTTTCTTTCTAACTACCCAAGAGGGACAAAGAGTAACATCTGATTAGTAACCAGGCTTCCTCTGTGATGCTAACTGTGAAATATGTAGCTGGCCCAGAGTATTAACAGGGAGTTATGTGCTTGAAGCATAGAAACAGACTGGGTTGTTTAAAACATAGCAACAGACTAGGATACAGGGTCCTCCCTCACTGCTACCTAATTTGGCTTATTCAGGGTTATTCATGATCTGGGTCCCCTGAGAAACTGTCATGGTGAATCATCTAAAGCCCATATCCGGTGTGTTTATTATCATGCTATTGCATATAAGAACAGAACATCAGTGACAGGCCGATGTGCAACTGATGCAAGGTTTCTGGAGTAGTTAAAGAACTTGGACATTTACTCTCATTTTTTAAAAAATGGAGCTGAGCAACCTATCTAATGGTAAGGCAAAGTCCCTGGGATGCTTTGGAGATCCTTACCCTGCATTTCCAAAAATAATTGTTGTTAGTTAAAAGATTGGAAAGTGTGAATCTATTCAAGAGATGAACAACTGTTTGCTTCCCATGAACAGGAAAGCACCTGAAACAGTGTTTGGGACCAGTTCAAACCACCAAGGGTACATTGGTGGTTGGTGCTCCTAGAATTAAGCTGGTACTCCTTAAGGGTACCTCTACATAATCCTAGAATTAGGCTGGTACTTCTAGAATTAAAGTAGCTTACTATTTTTAATGAGCCACCTTTTTCTCCTTTAGTGCTATTCCTGCATCTCTTAACATACCACCTTTTAATTATCACCTTATTTGAGCTAAAATTCTAAAGATCCCAGTTTACCTAAGTGTTACTTCTTCATGCTGATGGATACTTATTTCGGGAAAAATGAATGAGGGCATTCATTGTTTTGTCCTGTTTTGCAGGAAGCGCAATGCTGATTGCCAGCTGGATGAATGTGGGAAGAAAGCCTTCCTAAGGTATCACAATCCTGTCAGAGACTGCTTTTTTGTTCCGTGAAGCTTAAAGCAGCATCCATTTCAGACAACATTTTCTACTGAATAGACAGTGCCAGATGCTCTCAGAACTTAGGGCTGTGCTCAAATAATCCAGTTAATTTTGTTCTCACAAAAGAACTAAAGGTTGTGCCCAGTTAATCCAAATAATTTTACCCCAAATGTTTAACTGCCCACAAAACCTTCCACCTTTGAAAACCATATCCAAGTCAATGTAGATAGAATTTTCCCAGTACTCTGCAGCATACATGGCAATTCCAAAGTAAATTTTTATGAAGGCCTTATTTTAACTAGTTTAGAAAATCAAATGTCCTATAAAAGCAGAAAGAGTACAGACAACACCATATTTGTTAAGTAACAGCAGTCAAAATCAACTTCCTTCAAAACCCCCAGTCAGTTTTTTCCTTTAAAATTATGTTCCATGATTCAAGCTCTTGAGAATTTAAGTTCTTTGCTCCTGTGCCTGGCTTAGCCAGCTTAGTCAGGTCTTCCCAGCAGCTGGGAAGGATTGCACGTACATAGCTACCAGCTCATTTAGGACCAAATTGTGGTACAGTTATTTATGACGAGCAGGAACTTACACTCCTTGCATTAGTTTTAATAGGAGTTTACTAGGAGAAAATGCTGCAAAATTCTGGTGCTTAGTTGACAAATTGATATATTTACCAAATATCAAACAGGACTGGAGACTGCAAAATGCAACTCCAAAACAAAAGTTTCAGGTTTCATTGAAGCAGCCAAGAAGGTAACGTTTCCTGATCTCTTGAGAGGAATTCTCATCATTGTTTGCAACTTTAACTTTTTACCTAATAGTACCCCAGAAACTGTAAAATATCCCATTTTTAATGAACAGAAAAAAATAGTCATGACAAGGGGATATCTGAAGACCAGCTTTCCTGTCAGCAGAGAAATACCTCTTCCTCCAGTAATGACTTCCTAACAATCTTTTCTCTCTATTTCTCTCATGTGTAAAAAGAGGAAGATAGACATAAAGAGAAACTTTTTACAGAAAGGTCATTTGACACAGGCTCCTCCATGACACATACCCTGGAGAACCTCCCTGGCAGTGAAACACAGGGAGGAAACAGGTGTAGGAATGAGCCACTCACACACTTCCCTAAACAGTGGCCACAAAATTCAGACACAACAGGCAAACCCCACTACTGCAGAAGCAATGTCTGTGTCAAAATGTCAGTTTACTGTTTGTGGTAGAATATTAATAGTGTGAGGAACCTTCCAATATATAAGATAATGGAAGGTGAAGCAGTATTTCTCCAGAAGAGAGATGACCAGAGAAAAAAACAAGTAAAAGCCTGCAGAGCCAAAGAATACCACTTGATAATTCTCAAAGTTGGTACTTAGTTGCTGTGTGCAAAGTGCTTCTCTGTCTAATGCAGAACATCTCTGATGTTATATATTTGATAGTTTTCACAAAGCCACTAAGCAATTACTCAGTTGTGTTCACCTGTAAATGACAGAATGCCTTAAGGATTTTTGATCTATTGTTTATTTCCCCAGCATTTATCAAAATGTCTTGCTTCAAGAATGGGTCTAAATAGTGACAAAAGCCAATCTACAAGTTTTTCTGCAGTTACTGATCCTTAGTTTTTCATTCCCATATCTCAAACAGAAGGGTTTCACTTCCACACGTTTCATAAAAGTTGTAAGCAGTTTTTAAAAAATACTCACCTACCACTTTCTCTTTTGCTGTAGACTGAAACTTTGTGCAAGATGTTTTTTCTGGTTACTCTAATCACTCTATAGCATTTCTATTTTATAACCCCAGCTAATTTTTATTAGTGACAGTGTTTTCTTCTTGTCCAGCATGCTTCTTCAAGTATACCAATGCATAACCTTGACCTTTTATTTAAAATCAACCCCATCACCTACAGACAATGACTCCTAGAAAATCTAGGTTCTTTCCATATTTTGCTTTGCTGAGATCCTCTCAGGCACACATTGCCAGGTTTTAAAATCAGAAAGGATATGGAGCTTCTGCAGATTGTGGTTTCTAAGCCATAACAAATTAACTGACCAAATTGTGTAATATTCTCTGCATTACAGTATTCACTCCCTACACGATGATATTCATCACCCACCCTCTTCCTTCCTCCACAGACTCTCAGAAGATTCACACTACATCCATTTCCAGCACTCCTCTCAGATTCCCCAGGCAAATGCCAATCAAAGCTTCCTTTGTTGGCGATATGTACATTCCTCCATGAGCTATAAAGGGTAAGAATGTCCCAACTTTCTACAGGCTATCATAGGCACGTGCAAAATTATTGTCCCATAGTTTATCTTACTATACCCCAGAGAAATCTCATCATCCTGTTTTCTTTATATGGACTACAGATGTCTTAGCCAAGCTTCCTCACCACTGAGTCACCAACCGTGATTGTTTACATCTTCATAATGAGTCACCTTCACGATTTGGCTCACTTTCAATGCATGGGCTGACTTCATCTACTCTCTGTTTTGTCTCATTCTCCTTCATCTTGTCAATGTAGCTGTACCTGTTGGGAGTACAAGCACAAAATGGCTCCCTCCTACTTTTCCTTTTGCTTTCTTTATGCCACTTCATGTTGACTGATGTCACTTTCTATCTCTAGATTGACTGCTGTTCCAAAACTTTGACTTTCATGTCGTTCCAAGTTCCTGTGTCATAGGAAATACAATTCATATTTCTTTTTTTGCATCCAAGAATATCTGCTGACATGCAAAAGTGCCGCATCTTTGCTCAGATGTCAAAATACATTTGTACCTTTCATCCTCATTTATAAATAGGAATATTATTAATATTGCAAATATCTAGGATGCTTTAGAAGTCATATTTCCTTTTTCTATATGATATGTTCTCCCTTATTGGAATGTGTAAATGACTAGGAATTCTGTGGGCCTTAGAGCTTTCCTTTTTGCACTATCCACCACCTTGAAGGTTCATTTTGTGAATGTTCCATATTTATTAATTCTTTCCTTTTCTAATCACTATGTTTAGTATGTCCACTCCTCAACTAACTCACCCTTAGATCTAAACTCCTTGCAATCAGTGGCTGGCTGAACTCCCAGAGTCAGACAGTATCATTTTCTGTTTTACCTTCAGGCCGTCATGTACTGCTTCAGAGCTATTGTAGTTATGTTTCCAAAACAGCAGAGTAATATTAATATTAATATTTTCATTATGTCATTATTTTCCAAATGTATATTGTAAATATGTTTTTATATTACTTCCTTTCCTTCAAAAGATTAAAAAAAAAGGAAAAGATTAAAGTGCTCGATGAGGTCCCTTTAAGAGTCTTTCACAATTCCTGTTTTTGTAAAGTTGCAGTGGCTTTGTTGCATAAAAAACCTTACGGCAACTAAATTGGGGTGAGAGGTAAAATACTGCCATGAATTAGAAACAGGCTATGAAACCAAAAGCAAGGTCAAAATTAATAATCAGTTTTCGAGGGAAAAGGTTAACAGGAAGGTGACCAGAATTGAACCTAGTTTGCTAGGTGGGGTAGAATGTAAAGATGTGAGTAAAAACATTATTGTGTTTAATTATTACTAACAATATAAATAAATCATACCTAGGTGTTTTGCAACTAGATCTGTGGAAATTACACACAAAATATCTCCTGTAAGTGTTAAGTCAGTAACTTCTAACATAAACCTGATTTTTATTTAAACCCACAACCTTTGTAGATAGAAGCATGCCCTTATCTTGTTTTTAAATACCAAAGTGGTTGTGTGGAGGGCCGAATATCTTTGAAGAGTTCCAAACCCTGTGTATACAAGACATAGCTATACTGAAAAGTGAATCTGTTATTTAATTCTTCAAATTTGTCTACTGATCTTAGCTACATTTTCTCAGGTATACAGAGTTTAACCAGACCCACCCACCCACCCAGAAAATGGTTTTTGTGTCTTCCAGTACCAGTTCAGACTAATGGCCAGCCCTATGATCTTGTTTATTTTTAAATCAACCTAGATAAACAAATCTTTCCATTTGTCATTATCGTTTCTCTTTTTGTAATTAATCCTCTGAGAAGTTAGGAATTAAACAGCACTTACTCAGCCAAAATGGAAACTTCGTATAATAGTTTCTTTCATAAAGTGCAAATCAAATATAAATTCACATTTTTTGAATATGGAAATACTCATAGTGATGAAAGTTATACTTAGTACATGTGGAATGTGTGCTTCATTTTTTAAGTGTGGTTTGTTTTGTTTTTTTTTTAAATAACAATGATGCCAGTGAACTTCAAGATGATGAAGTTTAATGGGCCCTGGAGCCTGCTCAGATCTAGCTGCCTCAGTCCAAATGCTAATGTGAATTCAGAACTGTGAGCAGAAAAAGTCCAAGTCTGAAAGACTCGTTGCCCTGGTGGGAAATATTATTTATGCCAGTGACAGGAGACACTGGCTGCTGTATGTGAGTGAAAGATTGAGAACATTGGCCCACATGAGGTGTATCTTGGTTGTAGACAGGATTCCACTATGAAACTTTCCTTGATATTATGACTGGTTTTAGATGAGGCCAAGAATAGATGAGGCAAGAGTGCTGTTTGCATTGTTTGAGCTGCCTTAGGTACTAATAAAGAGAGCAATAGGCATTATGCTGGATTCCAGAGGTGAAAAATGATCTAATAAGAATTCTTTATTTTCAGATGCTGGACCTCATTTTGATATTTTTCCTAGTGTGGTTCTCGGTAAGAGACCTGCACTTGTAGCCAGTTAGCTGTTTGTACACTGACACACACAACTGTAAAAGAAACCAGACTCATTATGAATGTGACAGAGCCAATATCCCAAATTCTGGAGGTTTTCTGTTAAACAACTGCCATTCACTGAGGATCTTGACACACTCCTGCCTTAAAAGAAATGGAAACTTGTGAACTTACTTACGCTGTTAATAACCAAACGACAGCAACAAAATTATATTCAGAGTAGGGAAAACACAATTTACTGTGGACTTGGCTCCTTTGACAGTATAGGACAAGATAGTCTCAGCCTTGCAGTTCAGCCGAGTGTTATGCTATCCATCAAAATCTGGGATCATACATGTCCAAATGTGGAACATCTGTATACTGTTGAGAGCCTCAGCATAATTTTTAATTAGAAGATGTGTTTTGAATGTTTTCTCACTTAATGTGCTAAATAAACCAGCAATTTTAAAAACACAAACCCCAAATTATTTATGGGCAAACCAATGAAATCTGCATTCCAAACCCACAACCAGCCCAGCACGAATGCTGACCTCACCTCTGCTACTACAACTAATAGGAAAACTGATGCACCACTTAGGCTAGGCATAATTAAGAAGATAAAAAGTTTGCCAATGGATGTTTCTATTTTTTGCAAGACATCTGCCACAGAGGAAAATGCCAATCTGGATTCTCTTCCTAGGCCCAGTAACAGAGTGTCGTCTCTAAGTAATGCATATGTTAGCATGAAGCCCAACACATAAAAATCGAGAGAGCATAAAAACGGAGCGATTAATGAGTAAAATTGAAATAAAGGGTCAGGCTCGAAATGGGGTATGAACAGTTTCACAAGAGATTGCTTTTGTTTACTATTCTGATTGATGTCCTGGCTCTAGAACATGGGAGACCCTGCAGATGGGGTCTGCAGGCAACACAGAAAGGCATACATCAATGCACAGGAAGACAAGGAAAACCTATCAAAAGAGCTGGCTATTTATGAACTGAAATGAAATGACATTCAGTAGTGAAAGTAACAAAACATGCATTGAAGGGTAAGAAGGAAAACTCTCATTTGGAAAAGACTCAGCAGAGTCTGCTCTGGAACCACCAGATGACTGCAGGAGGCTACAAAAGCAATGCTTTGCTAAGGTAACAGTAGAGGAAGAGTAGCAAATTCTTAGTGTCCAACTGTGCAACCTTCAGGAGACCACATCTACAATACTGGGTACAACTTATGTTTAAGGAAAACTAATTCATCACTAGCAGGTGTAGAGATGGTGCACCAGGCTTTCAGAGGAATTAATAATCCATCATGTGAGAAGAAGCTATGAAAATTTCTGCTTGTATAGCCTCACAAAATTAATTTGGGGTGGACAAATGAACATCAGGAAAGCAGAACAGTTATGCAAGCCAATAGACAGGGCTGGCAGGATAGTAAGTCAGAAAGCACTGGTCATAAATTACTTGCGGCTGGAAATTGAAAGATGGTGTCTAGCAATTACAGCAATAACTGTCCAATGGAAGATATGTTCCAAAGCACTGAGGCAAAAATCATAACTGTTCTTCAGAGAAAAACTTAATAAACTACAAAAATACGTGGTAGCTATGTTAAAGAACTTGAACAGATAACTCAAGAGTTCACTTCTATTCCAATGTTTCTGTCTCATAAATTCACCTGGAAGGATAAATGCCCAGCTGGACACAGTTCTTGGTTCTAGAGGCCCATTAAGGAGAAAAGCTATAGTACGAAAATAGCTTTTTCATTGTGATAGTGTTGTGTAAATTAGATGTGAGAGCAAAAAAATAAATAAGCTGACCATAAAAATATGGGGCAAGTATGCAGCCTTGCACAACAAAGAATGCCACTTTACCATCCAACCCAGTTAAAAATCCATTACCTGTCAGTAGCTTTAACCTTGCAAAAGGAGCTCTCATGTAAGGTGTTTAAATCTGAGGAACAAAACTCTCCTTAGGCTGTCTAAAATAGTGCTTGACTGGTCTGAAATGAAGGTGAACTCAAAGTTGGAGTCGTATTGGTATAACTGAAAAAGTATTGAATTCAACTTTTTGTTTTATACAATTTTGGCCTCCTTACATGTCTCCTAAAGCTCTTTGTAAGCTAACATTAGTTTTCTACTTAAATTCCTCTGACAAACAGGTTTCTCAGGTAATTTAATGTCATATAAATGAATATGGCTATAGTTAAGCCGGATCACAAAAAAGTGCTCTAAAAGTATTTTCATCCAAGTATATTTGATTCTGCATGGTGGGATATATTCAGGAAATGTCTTTGAAGAAAACAAACTGTAACAACCATCATCTCTACTGAAGAATACTGTTTAATCCAAAAAGATGCAGGAAAAATCAACCAGGATAAAATGATGTTTAAAACACATTGCATCAATGATAGAAACCATAACACAAGTCCACTTTCTTAACATTGTTAAAGAAGGGAAAAAAGTCATTCCCATTCCATACATTTTAGCATTTTCCTGTGCCTAATTAATTCATTAAATTTAAGAAACAGGTTCTGGCTGGAATTTCCATATTTTCATTTGAACTCCTGAAGAAATTCATCACAGAAGAGCCCTTAGATCTTACTTTGCTAAATTCAAGCAAAGTCAGGATTCCTTCAAAACCCACAATTCCTTTATAAGCAGTGGATTAAAAATATAAACAATGGATTATTTCTGATCTTCTGCATTGTCCTACATGCTCAGATCATTCATTCATTCAAAAAATGCATGCTTAGTAACTATTTTAAAAGTGGATTAAATCCTTTGGCACATTATTACTGCACTGCCTCAATAAGTGCTTAGTTTACCAAA